AAATGTATACAATGAAAAAGACACCAATTGTACAGAGCTTTTGATGATTTCATGCGATCACGATTTAAAACTCTTGGGTCCTGATACATGTACAAGAGGCCAAATAGTACTGGCTTGTCTAATGGAGCAGTTCATTTACACACTTGTCATTGGCATCAAAAGATAGCTCACAGTCTTGAAAAGTCGCCATACCATTTTTCTACCGTAAACAAAAGCACTTTGACTACACAGTTTCCACTATGGATATATATACATACGGTAGATCTAAACAATGGAAGACTCCGGCAATCGGACTGGATCACGATTTCTTGGGAAGAAGATGTACCGATAGGGAAACAACGAAGTTACTTACGATGTTTTTTGTGTTGATCAAGCATTAAGCATAATGACCTGAATGTGAATCAACATCTGTAAAATCCAGTCAAACTGACAAATCACGTTTAAACACATTATACTTACGTTCAGCATATGTTGTAACACATCGAAGTGTATGACTGAAAAATAATCTTTCTTTCCACAGGAAATAAAATTTTGCGCGCATGCTCAAACAACGTTCACTCGGATTCCTGGAGACTCGGGAGTCTTCCTTACAACTACACAAGAGAAAATTATGAATGAAATATCTGGAAATCCTGAGGTGGTAAATGCAGGCGGGATGGTGAACTAACCTGACCTCCCCCATCCCACATAATGTTTCAGACACAAGGCATCCTGTCGTTAACATATTGATTTTGTTCTATCACTAAATTGATTTGCCAGAAAAAGTGTCGTTTGCGGAAATTACCATACTCATTAAACCAGAAAAAATATTCCTACAGAATAAGTACCTTGCGAAGGATGATATAAAAAGCACGCAAAGCGAATAGTATCTTACCAAAGAATTTACAAATCCTTCTCTACAACTATGCGCTGATGCTATTCAAAAGTGTATGAAAATGTAAATAATAATTACAATAAAGCAGGAGGTTTTAAGCACTCGTAAATAGTTTCAGGCAACATAGATGTGTTATATTTCGAAAAGAACAACAAGTACATTTGTATTTGTTAAGGAATTTTGTAGAACTACGACAATCCATACGTACATTTGTACTCATAATGAATTCATAAGGTATGTGCGTTGTGGTGGAAGGTTAAGTTTTAGTTAAAATCATCTCTATTGCAAACAAAAGACAAATGGATTGGACAAACGTTTTTTTAAGTTTCTCGTGCCCTAAGTTTTACATCTTTATATAAGTAGTAAAATACGTACATTTTGTTATTAAATTTTATACTTTAATGGGTAAATGCCCTTTCCGTTACAGCATAGTCAAATTTATCGGTTGTTACCTTGAACTTCTGCATATAAGTTTTCTCTCAGTTATATTTCCAAATATGGGCATATAGTATGTGCTGATAATCATGGACAATATTTGTAACGAGGAATTATATAAACATTAATATACCAGGCACTTATCAAAGGAAATAGTGACTTAACGGAAGTGTCGGGAATACATCTATATATCGTTACGACATGTAAATTATATTCAAAGTTTGACATGAAAATGACATTTTCCTTCTAACCATATTAGGACATGATATATACTGTACTGATTAGCAAATCCAATTGTCTTTGTAGGTGATGTAGAATACATAGAATCACACTCTGTTTTAAATTGTCTGTGTCGAGAAGGAGAACTTTTATCTGTCTGTTGGTACGACAACATGGCAAACTCCAAGTTGCTGTTTATTCACGTGACAATGGTGATTCAGTACTAAATCAAATAAGATGTCTAATTTATTTGATAAAATATCTTATTTGTTTATTTGATATCTTATTTCGGTTCATAAGAAAATATATCTTAAGTTTATGAGATCTAATTTATTGAATTTAATATCTTTTATAATAAATTTGATATATGATTTGGTAAAGTGCACGACCAAAATTTCTTTGTGAAAAACAACAACTTGGGTTTCCGTGATTGTCTGTCATAGATTTCTTTTCTCTCATAGGCGTCGTTTTGAAAAAGTGGAGAAAAGTTGATCCAATACACAAACACAGTCTGTTTAATATAGACAAGTACACACTTCTTTTGTATAATGGAGACCTTTGTTATTTAAGCATCCGGCTGAACTATAATACATGATACGAATATTAATATATGGCACATTTCACATATGTGATACTGTAAAGACAGAAAATATGAGAACTTACGTACAATATCATACACCCTGACGTACAAACAACTATCTGTAGGTATGACAGAGACCGATGATGAGACAATAGTTTCTGTTAGAATTAAATCAGTACAGACAACAGCGATCTGGTATTGATATAGCTACGATACGGTATCGTATCATTCCATACAGTAAAAAATACGATATTTATTAAATTGGAGAAAAAAAGGGTCGTTCGCATTCAGTTGATCGTTTCGTTCAAATGCTTGATTGATAGATCAACCATCCTGACAATTGCTATCTCGGTCACTCATCACATTAGAGTGTGCGTCATTCTTCTATTGAGGAAAACGGACTTGTACTGTCACCTATCTATTCATTTTATATTTATCTGACTTGTAGTTGACACCTTATATACCATATAGTAATGTCTACGTGCTTCTGGTTGTATCTTAAGGTATTTCATATGGTGGTAAACATACTCGCCAAGTACCAATTCTCTACAAAGTTCGCAAATAGACATGATTCATTGGCGAGATCGCAATATTTCGGTATGCAGATTTTTCAACAAAGCATGTACTTAAATATGTTTGAAACATTAAGAAAAAAGGCAAGTTGTGTGAAAATAAACAAATATTTCGCAAGGCATCGGCCAGAATTGACACTTTAGAAGAGTAGGTCGACGACCTCTAGTACTTGTAGTTTTGGGCCACAAAGACACAGGGGCTAGTTACTTGCTTTTGAATATCGCGAGATAACATATAATTAACGTATTCTGCCTGTAAAAGGTTTGCTTGATGGCTAATAAAAATACTGGTAACCTTTCAACTTTTTGGAAAGATGAAAAACAACAGATGTGTATTGCGTTATTTCCTAATAACTATTAATGATAAGGATACAGACCTGCATTGTTTCTATTGGATTTCGAAACAAGAACTAAAACTTTCTGCAATTGAAATCAGCTTTAAAGCCACTAATATTTTCACTTCCTGGTACACTTTACGCATTGAAATTCAATAGATCAGTTTATATGACGTGAACCTGTTTGCTTCAGATGTGTTTTCCATGAAACATTTTATATAAGGCACCTAATAGCCTTGTCAAGAAATTCCAAACTACCGGTTGTCAATGTCCTTCTATTTTCCGTCTTGTTTTTTGGCAATATCCCGAGTCTTTTCTCAGGACTCACACCCTGTGGTCCCCTGGAGTATGTATAGGGTATATGAATTATCACATATTACTATACATTACAGTTGTAACTGCTGGGATTTGATTATTGGTTGGTAACGTTTGTATTTTATAAAAAAAATATTTTTCGTCTCGCCTGACCACACTGCGACACGAAGGTGGGTTATAAGGCGAGTAAGTACACATGTATCGATACAAGCTAGGATCAGTCCTCTGGTGTGTTACATCACTGTATCAAACTGTTTACATCAATCCCATTATATAACCTGCTAGTGTAATTGGATTCTGGACAGACGACATTACATCCTTTGATACGTTGTTTCTGAGTTGTGGTGTTTCATCCTAACCCGCCACCAAGTCTACGATAATTCAATTTTACTGTGACTTTCATCGTTACGTCACAACACACCGGATGATTGCATTCTATCAGATAATGTTACTAGGTTTAACAAGTCCAATCTCAATAAACAAAACGTTATGTTCTAAATATACAGTAATTACTGTAATTACATTTCTTAATGAAATTATTTTTTTCCGAAACTCCTTTATAACCACTTTTGGTATTGGCAACCGCGATTGTAACAAATAGGTTTTTGTTCATCTACACATACCGACTACAAAGAAAATCTCGTGAGTGGTTACAGCTTCGGCGAGTCGAAGAGTGTGACACCTTTTAATCTCGTTTGATGTTAAGAACAGCAGATTTCCGTCCATTAGGAATATCTACAATAAAAGTAAGACATGCTGCACTGCTGGTTGTTATTACATTCTTCTTGAACCCTATAATTCAAATTCTGTACCGACCGCCAAGCATGCATAATTCATTGCCTAAATGTGTTTAGTGTGAAGAGAACGATCCTGATCAGTTCTTTTCGTTCCATTAAGGTGTACATTTTAGAGAAGTAAACATCTGCTATAAAATTAAGCTGTAATAATGAATTTTATAAAAGGTACCTTTCTATTATGGGTCAGAAATGCCAGCACAACACGGTAACAACCAGAAATAAATATCCTACTCATTAAAAAAAGAGTCTAGGGTTTTCACTATTTCATTTTCTGGTACAAAGCGTTTGGGACATATAAAAGAAACATTTTAAAACCCAGAGGTTTTTTTTATCTACACTTCTGTGTGCCCGAAACGCTAAAAGTGCTTCATTATCGCAGCAGCTATCGTTCAAAGAAATATCAGTTCATGTGCCCGAAACGATTTGGATGATATGCCTACAACATTGGCTACAGTGGGCTGTTTTACACCGTGACCTATTCTCATCAATATGATTAAATCATATCACGCCATTTCACCATATTATCCACAACATCTAACTAGACCAGCGCAGACATGATAGTTCCCCGGGGATCATCCGTGGTGGATTCACAACTACTTTATTTTATTTTATGCATCTTCTACATGCTACAGCGTCAGCAACAAGCTTAACATGCACTTGGAACTAGAAACATTAGAGACGAAATATTGACGGAACTTTAATATTCTTTTTGCTATCATATACTTGCTTCAGTATTTCTTTAGTGAGCGATCTCTAAAGAAAAGCGTACCAATGGCGATATATTACCTCCACCTTCTACACCACTGTCAGCTCATGTTAAAATCTTACATCTCCTAAAATTCCAGAGATCCGACGTGTCATATGTCTTTGACAATGATCCATCTCCTACAGATCCACGGTCACGTGTCATTGTCACCGATATATCTTCTTCAGACCCAATGTCAAATGTCAATGTCACCGACACCTCCTACAGATACCCTGCCAAGTGTCAATGACACAGATACCTCGCTTACAGACCAAATGCCACATGTCAATGCTACCGACATACCTCCTACAGACACCCTGTCAGGTGTCAATGTCACCGACACATCTCCTACAGACACACTGCTAAGTGTCAATGCTACCGACACATCTCCTACAGACACACTGTCAAGTGTCAATGTCACCGACACATCTCCCACAGACACACAGTCAAATGTCAATGTCACCGGTACATCTCCTACAAGTCCGCTGCCATATACATATCTTACAGACCAAATGCCAAGTGTCAATGCTACCGACACATCACCTACACTACCACTGCCAAATGTCAATGTCACCGGCACATCTCCCAGAGACACACTGCCAAGTGTCAATGCCACCGGCACAACTCCCAGACACACTACCAAGTGTCAATGTCACCGACACTATTCCTACAGACACACAGTCAAGTGTCAATGTCACCGACACATCTCCTACAAGTCCGCTGCCAAGTGTCAGTGTCACCGGCACATCTCCCTGACACACTGCCAAGTGTCAATGTCACCGACAATATTCCTACAGACACACAGTCAAGTGTCAATGTCATCGGTACATCTCCTACTGACACACTGTCAAGTATCAATGTCACCGACACACCTTCTACAGACACCCTGTCAAGTGTCAATGTCACCGACACATTTCCTACAGACACACTGCCAAGTGCCAATGTCACCGACAATTCTACTGACATACTGTCACGTATCAATGTCACCAACACATCTCCTACATGTCCACTGTCACATATCAGTGACACTTGTCAATCTTCTACAGGTCCAATGCGACGTGTTAGTGTTCGTGTTCCATTTCCTACAGGTCGAACGTCATATGTCCTCACTGATCCATCTCTTACAGGTGCGATATCACGTGCCATTGTTCCTGATCGATCTCCAACATGTCCACCGTCCTGTGCCGTTGTAAAAGACCTATCTCCTACAGGATCCACTGTCACGTATCAGCGTCACTTATTCATCTGCAAGTCCATTGTCACGTGTCATTATCACTGATCCATCTCCTACAGGTAAAACGTCTCATGTCAATATCATTGATCCATTTCCTACAGGTCCACTTTCACGTGTCAGTGTCTGGTCCATTTCCTACACTGTCACGTGTCAGTGATCGTGATCCATCTCCTTCAGGTCCAATGTCACGTGTTAGTGTTCTTGACCCATCTGCTACAGGTCAAACGTCATATGTCAATAGCACTGATCCATCTCCTACAGGTCCACCGTCACGTGTTAGTGTTCGTGATCCATCTCCTACAGGTCCTATGTCACGTGCTAGTGTTTCTGATCCTTCTTCTACAGGTCTAGTGCCCGTTTATAACCTATTCCCAGCTCAAACGTGTGGATTTTCACAAAAAACACATCTTTTTGGTATTCGGTGCGAAACTTTATTGAAGTTTTTACAAAATACGTACATTTTTGTCACAGGAGGAATTAAAGATTGTTACAAGTAATAGCACAAGGGAGGCCACCCAAACAGCCTTACAAACTAAAATGAAAGTTGTCCATTGTAAATGTACTTATATAGAACCAACTATTGGATATTCTGCACATTGAATAATATCGGGCGCGAAGAAATACTTTTTCTTTCAATAGCTATACAGAAAATGTCCGACTGAATTTGATAAATCTAACTCTATATTACCCTAACCAAATCACTCCTCTTTCGATCAAATCATCTCAACTGAATTATAATATATATGCGTTTACTTTAAAGAACACTAACATCATTTGGACACAATTTAAAACAAGAAATGTAACGTTCGATATCAATTCTCTCCTCGAATACGTCGTGCCAACCTAACATCTCTTGGCATAATGGTGACTCTCTTAGAGTGTATGGCACATAGATTGACGTCCTCGAACAAACCAACCAGAAATGCCTCGCACGCCTCCTGTTCAATATCAAGGGACACAATTTTATCAAACATTTAAAAACTACACTTTCGTTCAATTTGTACTAAACGTTTCGAAACCTGAAATTATGTTAAAAATACAAACACATTTATATATATATTTACTACAGTCCTTATATAACATACAACTAATTAAATTGTAGGTTTCTTTTATACCAAATTAATCCATCCATTACTTGCAATGACGTCAATCAGTCTGCCAACTGAGTAGTTTTTAATTTAGCCAACATATGACGTAAACTTGCAGAACCCAAATTTATTTTACGACGATACAGATAACAATTCCTGTGATTGATACCTTTGGATGCCTCGATATAGCAAACTCCATATGTCGGAACAAAATTAATTCGGTTTTAAAGACTATTGCATTGTAAATTACCTGTAGCGACGACAACGCCGCAACTTTAAACTTGTAGTTGATTTTCGTGATTTTCATCGATATTTCTCGTACCAGTCTTTGGAAAGGAAGTTTTCGAATGAGGAGTTCCGTGGACTTCTGGTACCTGCGAATTTCTTTCAAAGCTACAGTTCCTGGCCTGAAACGATGTGGCTTCTTTAAAGCTGCCAGTTCGGTCATCGACTTTCTATAGTTTACCATCATTGTACGGTTAACAAGTCCCCCCGTGGACTTCCTGGCCGTTTGCTTTGATCTCCCCATATTAGATACTACCTGCGATAGGTTAAACAGAAATTAATTAAGTTTTCATGAACTTCAGTGTATTCCTTATACTGAATATGGGGATGACCACACAGGTATCATTTTCTATGTTCAAATTTGTCCAATTTTAATATACCAGATCATTTTATTTTATTACATGACTTGCAGAAAAAACGAGAATGTTTACTCACAGAATCCAATCACACGGTATAATACCGTATATACCCGTATATCAAATCTATGAAAAATAAATAAACAGAAAACGGTAAATACGTACTCAATATGTGCAAACGAGATTTTAGTATCAAAACTGTTGAAATATCCAATATTTCCTGTATCGATTTCGGTACTTACCTAGATGGAATGAGACACCTTGGAACGCTAGATGGCTTACATCCTTTAGAAACCCCGCGGAAACTGGAAAGTAGATGCGCATGCCCTGCGCGACTTGTTACCTATTGGTGTACACGCGCTGTGGACCAAGCAGGTACTGAAAACAGCAATTTCCCTTTTTATGCAATACACAAAAAGTCAGCCAAATCTTAATCAAGTTTAAACATGGAGATAAAAATAAGCTGTGGAAAGCGATTTTTTTCGCTTTTAGTTGATAAATTCCGTGGCGTAATGGAACCACGCTCTCATATGTTTTATAGGCCACTCTTGTTAGAAGTCATGTGTAATATAAGAGTTAGCCCCCTTCCTCCTAAACTTGAGCTAACTGTTCGCTTATACAAGTTATATATGTAATGAAAGAGTTACTTCCCCTCCCTGGTAATGCTGGTGCAGACTGCAAAATCCTACTATAAAATTGCTTGGGGTCACTATCTTACGCACAAAACTAAATCAATGATGAAGAATAGGCATATGGATGCCATTTTCATACCTATCACAAGCACATCCCTCCCAAACACTTTGACTTGTTAGTATACAATTTTTAAGGTCATGAAACAAAATTGAAACACTGATTAGTTTATCAGTGAGAGTTGTAAAAATACTCCACTTTGATGAAGTAATCCAGAAGTTAAGGGAGGACCCTATATTCAAAATGATCGAGAGAGGAGAGGGAAATGTGTCATATGAATTATGATAAAAATGTCCCTCACATGTTACTTTCTGCAATAAAAAAAAATCCTCCCAATATTACATTAACTATTACTAAAGCTACATTTGAAAGTATTTGTCAAGTTGTCAATTAATTTTGCATCATTTGAATATGAAATCAGTTTTACTGCACTTAAAAGTGTCACAGATCCAATTAAGGCCAGTGTATACTCAGTATGGACAAGGTAAATTTATGGAGATCCTCTTTAAACTTCTAATGATTAATATCTGAGGTCAACATATACATTGCTGGTTACTGTGACCAAATATTGATGAGAAATTATTCATGATACATTCAGTCCTGGATTAACGTGTTCCAGTAGTTGTTTCATGTGAAATTTATGGAGAAATGTGTCTGACAACACCCCAGGAAAATTGTGTTCTAATTTTGAACTTCTTGTGAAATAGCACAGGGAAAATGTAACTGACAACATCTCAAGAATTTTGGGTTTCATTTCTAATTTCATGTGAAATAGCTAAGGAGAAAAGTGACTAACAACATCCTAGGAAATATATGTCCCATGTGTAACTTCATGTGAAAGTTAAGGAGAAATGTGGATGATAACATTGTACATGTTCCAATATTTAATCTCCTTGACAATAATCTGGAACCATAAAAACATTAACAGAAAAATGTGGACATGTAGTGATTTTAAATAGTAATTGAAGACAAATTTCATTTTCTACTCCAGTGTCTACTTTATTCAGATTTACTTAACATATTCAGAGTTGTTTTTAAACTACAACAGTAAAAATGATAAGCATTAAAAAAAATTGAAGAATTGAAAAAAGTGAGAATTCACTGTTTATTCACAGTCTTAAGTAACGGTACATTTGTTTATTAATATTGCTCGATGTTTTATATATGTAAAATTTAATACAACATAGGAAGCCATCAAGAGCCTTGTGGCCATTACGTTTTCAGTTTATATTCTATTCCTTTGGAACTTTGTAATACAAAATATATATAAATCCTAAGTACCTCATATAACTCGGACTTGTATGGGAGCAACTTTAACATAGCTATGAATTTTTTTTCCAAGTCAAATTTGTGAAGAGATAAATTTGGTGTGTACGCCAACATCCTTGCAGCCTAAACAACAACAACAACAACAGTTTAAATAGTTCATATTTTTATTTTTTCATTTTATTTATAAAATATGATATGTCTTTGAATTGATGGATGAAGAAGTTATACTTCACAAGAAATAGTACAATATATCAATGTAGTGATAATGCTCCATCATATTTGATGAATTATAATTCACACATATAGCTACACTTTAACAATGAGATCAATCATTTTACTGTATTTACATTTAAAACACTTCATATCAACACTGTAATGGCAGTTTTCAACACTTTATCCAATATTTGAAAACAAAATAAATCAACCTAATTGAAAATACAATATATTAACAAGAAACACTTAAAAATGTATTCAAGTATTAAAATTATTTTCTGTAAAAATTTCTACGAACATCAGGGAATATTATCTAGATAAAATTTTGATTTCATTTTTTAAAAAAAAGTTGTACTTGAATGATAGTTGGAATATTTTGAGTTGTTTTTCTTTATTGTTTGTACAGGTATCACAGTCAGTGTTGGGTATCAATATAATATCAAATCATACTATATACATAGCACTATAAGCCATGGTGGCTCACATTGGGACTATGTTGCTATTGCTCAACTGTGTTTTAAAAATCTTATGACAATTCATACTTTAAAAACCTGCAGATAAAACCAACAGAATATATTATGCCAAGATTTTACCAAATATTTAATAAAAAGTTTTAAGTTTTTGACACAAATTAATCATCAGTTTTACACAGAACATAATGTTAACTGATTCTTTAAGGGGGAATTATAACTACAATTGTAACAAAAACAATTGTAACCATAGTGATTATAACACACAGTTAACCAGTATCGACTAACAAACAACAGCTTAAGGTGACTAGTTCAATCACGTTGTCTCCACAAAGACAGACATTTCCTTAAAAATAACCCCCCCTCCCCAAATTCCTTTATTGAATTTGTGATTGTTGACAAAAATGATACAAGACAGTACATAATATTATGTACATGTAATTAGTTGCTGTTTGGCTGTAGCAGTCACAGTTCCGAGACAGTTTATGTCATTGTTGTCCTATAGCAGCACTAGAAAATGGCAGTGGGTAGCTGAGGAAAAAGTCCTCCAAAAACAACAACAAATTGTGCGGGGGTTTCCCCAGATATAAACTTTATAACAAGATAAACAACAACAGGGAAATTCACAGGGCTTTAACAACGTCCCTGCTGAAACTGACCTAGATAGCAGTGGCACTTCTCACAATATTGTCCGTACTGTGCCCCATGTTTGCCACAAAGACTACAAGCCACTTCTCCGGGAGCTATTTCCGTTGGCGAGTCCATACTATCATCATCCTCAAGTTCATTGTCGGAATATGACCTAGTAGTTGTATCATATCGTTCTTCCTGGTCACTCACATAGCCTGAATTACTGTCCATATATCCAGAAGTTCCCTCTGGTGGAGCAAAGATGTCCATCAGATCTACTAAAGCCACATTATCGTTAAACGTCACTGACTTTTTCATTCTGTTGGCTTTATTTTTCTGTTTACTACGTGATAACACAGACTTTGGCTTCACATCTAAAGTCCTAAAATCTGATTCAGATTTACTACGTTGGCGGCCTAAATTGCCTGAGGGAAGCAGATGAGCATTGTCTTGTTGGTCTTTGGAATTTGAACATGATGGGGCATTGGGACTACTGCCTTCAAACCTAGAGGCCAGGTCTCTTACACTGGGTCGGAACTCCTCAGATTCTGAGTTGGCCTCATTACTGTTTGTACACATCTGTGGTGTCGTTGATTGATGGGAAGTGATTTGGTTTTCACCTGATGGTTCTCCATGTTGATAGCTCTGAAAGTACATAAAACTGATGTGAATATTTTTTTATCTCTGTCTGAATATTTATATTTACTAAAAGAAATTTTTTTTTGGTTTCAGTTTGAATATTCATATCTAATAATACTACAAAATATTTTAACTTATATTATTTTCAAAACAGATCTTATCACAGTTGAGTCAACCTATGACCAATAAACTAAGTATGCATCAAGATTGAAATAACAGATTGAAAATATTCTCACATGAAATGATTCAGAGAAAAGCTACTCAGAAGCAAGAATCAAGCTGCATATTTCAAGCAGAAAGATGATAATCTGTTCTTAACACCTTCAGCCAGTTCAGGTGTAGACTCATGCTACATTACCTGTCAATTCTGTCACTCTGATAACATACATACTAAAACCCTTCAACAATACCCTTAATTCACATAAATACTTATAAACCAAAAACTCCTTTCAACAAAAGTAATCTTATGCTACATATCTTTTAAAACTTGAATTTAATTTGATGATAATAATGTAGTTTTACACCGAAGATATTTTAATAGTATTTTTGACCTAGACTCAAAATATCCCTTTGCTTTGTTGTCTACAATGCTAAGTCATTCTTCCGATAATTTCACCTAAGACATATTTGCTCTGCATCGATGCCTCCTGATCAATGAACCATGACTTTATGAAAGTTAGTGAATTAATCAATGTAGTCAGGTTAACGAACCACAGTGATGGAAAAGGAAAAAGAAGTTATTTGTTCTCAGTAAACTTCACAGGTAGATATGGCATTTGCAAGTGACTCATGAGAAAGTGATTGACATCCAGAACAGGTTCTATTTATGAATTACACTATTGTTGTAGTAAGTGGTCAGTACAAATGCTGTTCCTTTATGTACAACTCTAGTTTTAATGGGTTTGAGGTCAGCATCAATTACTCCTTGGTACAGTCACCAGAATGAATATCGCAGATAACCAAATACAATTTTATTTGCATTCCAAACTTTTGAGGTTCCCTCTTAAATGCATTGATTTTTTCCAGTGTATTTTTGTACTTACAGGTATGTTAGAGAGGGTGGAGGGAACTTGATCATGGGTGAATCCAGCGCTTTGTGCCTCATTGTTAGAGCAGTCTGTCACACAGGGAAAGAAACACAGGTAAAGCTTATTATAGGGCAATCCATATATATATATAGAGAGAAGCATAAATAGGCAGGCTATACACACAGTAATACTACGGTGCTAGCCCTTCACCTTCTGGTGAAAGTCACAAGAATTGCATTACTTATAACTAAATTTCCAAAATCAGCAACAAAGATAATTTGTTAATAAGAAATTTTCAAATGCAATTCCTGTGACACATGCTACCTATCATTGATAAAACTTACAATCAATTCAAACACTAGCGTGCAAGTTAATTCCTGTATTATTCTAAATTATGCCATATTCCCTAATACTGTTCAAATAGTTAGCCAATATATTCTATATTATGTATAGCTACCCAGAGTAAAAATAACAAATGTAAGAAAATTTCAACCCAAACTGTGTTAATAAAAATCAATAGAAAGTTAATAAAAAATCACGCTTGACTGAGTATTAAATATCTTATCTACAAACTGATATATTAGCTGATTTGTTACTAACTAAAAATGCCAAAGGTTTCCCCTATATTCATGATACTTTTGTTCTGATACTTTTCCCAATAACAAGTTTTCTTTCTCACAAGAGTGAGTAAGCAATTTACCCTAGGTCTAAGATCGTTTTCATTATAACTTATTTACAAAGTATACCCCTCCAGTGTGAATTCTTAAATGTTTTCACAAAAATATAACATACATTGGGTTTTATGTGAGATCGAGTGTGATGATTATTCATACATTAACATGCTAATGTGCCCCTGGGTAGCTTCCTTTAATACACATAAATATTTTGTAAAATATATCTGCCTGGCTGACGATGTTTACACCAGGGGCTTTTTAAAACTCTTCCAATTTAATCTGTACTACATGTATTATCACACGAGAACAGTGTTCTCTTGAACTAAATACATATCTGGAAGACCTTGTTGTGTAAACAGGTAATTGGTACTCATTTTACAGGTAAACATGATCAACCAGTCTACATTTGATACAAATAGCACCAGTGCTGCCTCCCTTTCTGGGTCTACTAGATCTGATAAATCACTCATTATTACACTGGTATAACATGTCCTCAATGACATAATGCCATTGTATCACAACACAATGAAATCTTAAATCATTCCTAGACCTACTTGTACCATTTAATTCAATGCTGATATCATTATTTCAAATCAGATTTTAGAAGTCAGAGTTACCATTTAAATCACAGAAGTAATTACTAAGCTAACAATATTTCTATGCTTGGCCATGGCTTGTTCAGTTTCTTAATATCTGGGCCTAGTCATTTTTTAACATACATGTCCTACATTTGATCAAAAGTGCATGTAATTTTTTGGATGAAACAGACCAATTAAGTCAACATATTAACTAAACTGACTTAAATAAAACCTGTGCCTCCAAAGTAAAGATTGATTCAAATTGCTTATAGATTATCATTTTTTTTTAACTAGTGTCTTAATATCTATTCCAGTTTTGGTCAGTATAGTAATTAATGAGTCATTTTTTAAATTTGGATCAGATTTACAAAAAAAAAAAAAAAAAACCGCCATAAACTTTAGTCTAGAAACTGACACATCGGTTTTATAGCACAAGTACCATTAGGGAGGCAGCATGTAAAAGCTTATAGACAGGAAATGGTTAGTACCTGAGGGATTACAATGTTGAGAGGTATGGTTGACTAGATGCTGCTGAGGCTGACGATCGCACTGTACAGTTGTCTGGGAGACTGTTGATGGGTGAGGTCGCCCTTGTCCAGGCTGTTGGGAGTTGCCTGTGAAGCTGGACTGACGAGCTACACTATTTTGTTTCGACTTATTCTTAACTGACCGAGGAGTTGAATGTGATGTTGATCTCACCCATTTCATCATGCCTTCCACGGGGCGAGGACTGGCTTCTCGCGTACCAAGGTCTGATGTAGACTTGGCAGGTTGAGTGGCCAGATTGGTGACTTTGCCCGACTTGGGTGGCAGCACAGTGTTACCTGGCGCCACAGACTGAGAGGGTGCATTTGGTTTACAAACCTCATTGTGATGCTGTGTTGAGTGAGCTGACTGGGGTTGGGAATATGCATTGTCCTGATGTCGTGAAGATGTGTAGCCTTGAGGGTAATAATCTTGATGATGGAAGGAACCTCCATTGTTGTGAGGAAGCTGCCTTATTTCTGCACGGTTAGCCTTAACCTGCTGTTGAGAGGGAACCTGCATCTTGTAATGGTGGTCACTTCCGTCTGTAAGACTAGAATCTGTATCAAAACAGTTATCAGAAGGTGTTGGTGTGATTGATCCAGAAGAAGCTGTCCTTCCATTAGGAATTGTACTACTATTCACCATCCTCTGCTTGTTCCCAAAGTCTTTGTTGTATACCTCTGATTCTGGATTTGAAGATCCAGAGACCTTCTGTCCACGCCGTGCCCCCTTACGGGGTAACGTTGCATATATGTCCACAGACCCATCACTGGTCTGTTGATTACACATTATCCGTTCATTAACACTTGGACTAGAAGATGATTCACTACATTGTTTGTCAGGTTTCACACTAGTCCTGTTTTCTTTGCGGTAATTTTTATTCTCTATTACACTATCTACAGAGTCTCGAGAACTTGAACGGGAATGGACACTGTTTTGTTGCAGTTTTGAGATTAGCACATTTTGTTGAACACAATTTTCCCCATAAGAATGGGATGATGAACTGGAGTGATCAGATGAGGAGACACTGAAATAGTAGAAAACATTGGTTATAAAGACAGGAAAGGGGCTCAATTAATCGGTTAATTTGACATGTTAAAACAGTTTTGCAGTTTCATTTCTTACACCTGATACTGATAATATATTGCAATTTGTTAAAATATAAATCTGCATGTATATTAACAGTAAGTCAAATAACAAGTGTTTATGTTATTAACTGACAGCAATTAAATCTGATTGGATAGATTGTGACCATTCACAAGCATTCTTTCAGATTACAGCCATTAAATCTGATTGGATAGATTGTGACCATTCACAGGCATTCTTTCAGATTCATGGATATTAAGTCGGAATATGTCAATAATTTTTAGAGAAATAATTCTACTGTTAATATAGAATTGGTTAATGATAAAATATTTTCTGGTTTTGCTGGAGGCTAAGGTGGAACATTGTACCTGATAGGACAGGGAGAAGACCTGGCACTGTCAGAGCTGGTCGTGGAGGACATTGACTCCTGACGCACCAAGAACTTCTTCTGTAGACTGCGTGACTTGAGAACACATGAATTGTGCATCTTCTGCGCAAACACAAAGGATTGCTGGGATACTGAGTTGATCCGCATTGCTTGCTTCAGACAGTCTACAATGAAAGTAAACTAGGTAAGACATTTATGTTTCAACAAAAGTTTTGTGTAGTCAAGAATGACAGTTAATGGAACTGAGCTTGATAGTAACATCATCAACCAATACATGGATGGACAGAAAGGCATTGATTGGAGTAAATATTGTATTATACTGAAGTGACTACCGTCATACTTGAAGTATCAAAATTGTTTGAAGGGTACACTTTTTCCAATGATTTTCAGTGATCGGTGACATATGTACTTGGACATACCTATTGCAGCATTACAGTAGTTGAGAGCCATGGAGCCATTCTCAGAAGTCTCCACCAAAACACATTGGTCCATCAGTTCTTCAGCTTTCTGGCACAGTTTCATAAACTCATCTGCTCCTGTGAGATTAAAAAATATCAGAATATTAACAATGATTTTATTTCCATATTGTTTTTTCTTTTTTTTCTTTTGTTTGTATGATATAATACTTCCAAATTTCTAGAGCCAGCCTAGCTTAAAGATTCTTATCTTTTTAAGTATTTGTTGGAGGTAATACAACAGTTTAACAAGGTAAATCCTGCACTGGTGTTTTTTTTTCAGAGAAAAATGGCACGATATCATACCTTGATGATATTCTGGTTTCTCTGATTTCTGGCTAGGGGCACTGCTGAATCCATCAGAGCCAGGCTTGTTTCCTGATGTAGACTCCTGGGGCATCATTTTCTGGGACATCTGGTACACTTGATGCCCTGAAGGTCAGACAGAGGTCACATTATTTTTCAGTAAACAAATAACAACTGTTGACTGTTATGGGTCAATACTGGATATTTCAAAAGAAATGCACATTCAAATAAATCATTTTTTCTAAAAAGGAGTTTGTTCTGCCATTTCTTTTTTCTTGCTAATGGAAGCCTTTGATTATGGTCTATTTCACCCTACAATGAAGCTGATAAATCCTGCTTCACCAGCCATGCACACCGTTTTATGTATTGGACTTACAGACAGGTACAACCTGTTTATCCTGCTGAGGTTCAGTGTGGAAAATTGCTGATTGTTGTCAGCATGAATTAATTAAGAGAACTGGGTTCACCGGGGACTCTATATATACAACAATATACAATGACCTTACTAATCCTTTTGATACAGAGGCTGATTATAGGTTTAACATAACATTACCTGACACAGGTAATCAACCAATTACACAGAGGTAAAAAATACAATATGTCTACCTTTAATTATTCATGGGTTAGACAGATATCCTAAAGCTAAATATTAAAGATCACTTCTCCACAGCGACAGTATTTTATGTTTAGGAATAATATAACATTCAATACATATCCTGAAAACAATTCATGTACTAATAACACATAACAAAAGAACAATAATGATTACAAAACATTATGTAAAAAGACGTATCTTGTGAGATGTAATTATAAAATACAGATTACGTAATACACTTACCTTTCCCCTGTGTGTGAGACTTGACAATGGCTGGATCATACAGCTGTTTTCTCTCCATGGCTGGGTCTGTAGATTTCGCAGATATCTTGCTATTGTCTACAACTGGGTACTGTGATTTTCCAGTCTCTACACTTGGTTTTGAGCATCCATAGTTCATATCTAAATTATATTTATCATCTGGAGGAGGAAACTTTTGGCTAGTGACCTGGACTGCAGCCTGACCTGCATGCTGGACAGACCCCACCGTGTAAGTTGTAGGTCCATAATGCCTGTCACCCTCATAACCTTGGTTGATGAATTTCTTTAAATTCTCGGCTACACCTTGTGTGTTAAGGTTTTTAGGGGGAATCATGCTTTTACTCATGAAATACTGTGCATAGGGATCGAGAGTTGTACTCCCTGTGGAACTAGAACTATTTCTATCACTGCTGCCATACCCAGAATCTCGGTGAGCGGAGTCCAGAGACAAAGTATCAAACAGGATCTCTGTGGTGCCATCTTTGTGACTCTTCACACTTGAATTGTCAGAATCAAAGCTAGTGTTACTGCTCTGACTGACACTGCTAATGTTTGATCCCTGCCTTGTAAGTTTTTGACTTTGATATTGAAGTACACTCTCCACCATATTTCTGTTTATGTAATTCTGTTTGGCCACCTTGCTATCTTGGAGTTCAGACTTCCTTGTTGGAGGAGGGGGAGGATTGGAGGTCTTCTTCTTCTGAGATAAAGTTGGTTTCTTTTCTGGTTTGGCAGGCTTTGGTGGTTTGTTAGAAGGAACAGCTGGCTTTGTTTGCTCCTTCCTAGAGAGACCGTCTGGATTTGACTGACTACTAACTTTATCATTATGTGTACCTCCCTGTGAGGCAGAACTCTGTGGTTCCGAAATTTGACTAGCCATAGAGCTCTGTCTGGAGTGTCTGTCATCTGTCAGTGTATGTGTTGAACTTTCTCGACTATGAGATGTCTGACCACCAACAGAGTTCTGTCTTGAATGGAAAAACTTGTCCATCTGTACCGGCTGAGCCTGAGTGCTCTGTCGGTTGTGAAGTGATGGCCGCGAAGCTTTGTCTCCCTGTGATACTTGTTGTGCAGACTTGCCTTTCTTGTTCCTTGGAAGCGTGGCAAGACCTGACTGTACAGGAGTATGGGCAATGTTTTCTATGTTTTCATAAGTGTGCCCTGCATTAGGTTTCGGTTTCATTACAACATGTTGGCGAACATCTATGTGATCTGCTGACAGATTCTGAGGAGCATCTTCATGGCAGATGGACTGTGTCCGTCTGTGTTTTGGGGGAAGAACTGGGGCTGTTAACTGGCCTGGCTTGGAGTTGGCTTGGTTGTGGTCACCTTGTCCAACAGAGTCAGAGTCTGAGGAGGTGGAAGAGGTTCGGGGAACCTGGTACCGTATCACATCCACGGGAACTTTATCTTTGCCTCTCTTGAAGCTATCCTTTCTGAGTGGGACTTCCCCACGAGAAAAGTTTGGAGTCAAGGGTTTTCCGGTGTGATCTGGACTGCTAATAGAGGGACGGCGATATTGGTCACGTGTTGAAAGTGTATAGTTGTATCCATCCACTGAATCGTCCTGTTTTGGCAGCTGTAGGTCACTGGGTCGTTGCTTTCTTCCGGTACTTCTCTCTTCGTGCTCAGAAGCAGATGGCTGACCTTGTCCTCCAGGAAGGCGATGTTTCACAGCAGTGTTGTTCTTAGGTACAGCGTACTCCGATTTATTCTGTTCTGCTGCACGCCCTGTCTTTCCAGTGACTGCTATGAGGAAGCTATGTTGACGATGGTGCTCAACCTGTTTCTTGGTGACACCAGGTTCCGTGTCTGGAGAAAGAGGCTCTGTAGTATTTGTAGGGTTAGGTGTTGTCGAGCGCCTGCTATTTTGAACTGCAGCTTCTGGACCATCTGGATTGGGCGTTATTGACCGTCTCACTCCATCGTGTCGACACTCGGGTTTTTTCTCAGCAGGAACTGAAATTATAAAACAAACAACACTTAAAACAAATCAAGCAGAAATTTGATGTTGATAAATTTTTTTGGTCACTGGTTCCAGCACTATTAGATAAAACATTGACACAATATAACAACAAAAGTATCTAAATATGAAACGCAATGATTTGGTCCTTTACTTCAAGAGAACATTAGATGCCACGCTTGATGTGACTTTCAACCACAATGACACTGATATCAAAATTTTACGCTTCTGCACAAAATTGTCTGATGACAAATGTTACCCAAACCTTTCTGATCATCGCCATAAACAAGATCCCAATCGAGTAACAGGACTGGTCATATACAGATTAATTTACATGAGCACAAAAAATAGCTACATTGTGAAAACAGTATTTTCCCCAGAAATGATAAAGGATGGTTACTATCTATATCTACACATAACTTCACTATCCCAGATTTAAAAGGAACTGGTCTATCATTTAAAAAAAATTTAATATCCATTCCAATTAAACAGTAATTTGAATGTAAGGATAAAACAAAAATTTCATTGCTTGTAGTGTTTCTATGATACTGGTTTTAGCCAATATATAATCATTATCAGAACAGCTTTCATCTTTTTTTCCAATATACACATTTTGATGCCTGTGTGTTATGTCTGGGCCCCATCATATCAGGTTGTATCAGGTGGAGCTTATCTCGTGATGAAAGAGCTGTGGCGCTTGTCACCTGAGCTGGCACAAGTCATTAAGTCAGTAGTATTCTAAACAGGTTCCAGGCAAACTAATGGATACTTAACACTGCCAGTAAATCATTCTTTGTTGCCTGAGTTACTAGGATTTTAAAAGTGCACCTTGGTCTCTAGAAACTACACAGTTAAAAAAAAAATTCAACTTTGATATTCCTTGTTTTTATGAAATATTCACTATTAACTTTGTATCACTATTTATACATAAAGTTAATCCATTTACACCTGTATATATTTCACTGAAATGAAATTAGGCTATCAAAAGCTCAGCTAAATCAAAGACTATGGCAAATTTACAAAAACTTCAAATAGGAAATGCTTGTTCATGGTGGATTACGACAAACCTGGAAAAAGACATTCAAAGTTTTGCCAAAAAACTCTGAGCTGGTTAACAAATGTACCTGATATTTAGACAGATTTTTAACCCTTCTGAAATTAATCCAATTGGCTTATGTAAATAGATTAATTCTCTATGGCGTGATAATTTATTAATGTATATAAATCTGAACTCTACCCCAATTGTTGACCGTGTTCACGCCAACTCAGACATATTACCCGCCTTAAACATATCTCTTGACAAACTTCCAAAACCTTTTCATCCCTCTATAGAAATATGAATAAAAAGATTATAGGTATTCATATCATAGAGAATTATTAGTACAACAAAAGATCTTTTATTGTATGAACATACATTTTTATCAAACCTTTAAACTATTTCTGTCTAAATTATCCAAACAAAACATGCTCAGGGAACTGTGACAGCCTCTAGTCTTCTATAGCATTGTAAGACAAGCAATTAAAGTATCGTGTACAATTGAATCTAGGTTGAAGACTTAAAGACAAACCTTTAACAGGGGTGGAAAAACCAGGGGCCATGACCCGCTTTTTCGGGGCTGTCTCTGTGGCGATAGGGTTTGCGTTAGGGTTGGTGTACAACAACAACAGGGGCTGGTAATGTCCCTTGCAACATTTTTCTACAACATCGTCCCAGCTAGGTCCCACCTGATCAAGAAAATAAAGGCTGAGAATTACATCTGTATTCAAGCATGCAATACTAATACCACAAACATTTACAGAATGTCACCATAGGTGTGTCATCCATCAGTTATCAAGTTATCTACGTATGTATATATTAATTGTGACTATCATGTTATTCACACACACACATCACCAAGTCATTCTGTACTTTATATAATCAACCACTATAGACACTGATTGAAACATTTTCATACCAAAGTGTGAGTATCATCCTTTGATTGGAGATAGGTAATAGATCAATTTATTCACCATTACATATATCAAATACGTGCTGATGAAGAATATCCTGTCCAGGTATATAAGACTAAAATCTTAAAGTCTAGCATTTCTAAAAGGACATAAAAGATATTTTTATTTATCTAGAATTATATAAAGATATAAGCTGTAGATATAGTAAAACAGGTATTCTCATGTAAATATACCCTAAAATGTCGGAAATAAGGCAAAGCTTATTTTCTTCACACGTAAGAAAATGAAGGGTTTTTCCAGTAAGAAAAAACAGGCTTATTTTTCATAGATTTAATTGTGGGGTTGGTTTGTTTTGGAGATTTTAAGGTATATTAATTTGATCCCAAAAAATTGATGTTATGTAGAGATAGCTTTGACTACAGCTGATAATCATCAAGGTAACACCAAATTTATAAAGACATTTTTTTTGTTAAATAAAGAATACAGAAAACTGTCTGCTTCAATATATTCCACGAACAACAGCAACTGAAAGAACATCAAGGATGTATACTGTAAAGTATCTTCTTCAAATCTACGCAGCTCAATTACAAAACATTTCCATCTGAATACAAAAAACTACCCAACACAAGTCTTCTGTCTCAACCAATACAGGCCAACAGACAAAAAACAGAATTCAAACTTTTGTTTATATTTCTTTAGCAGAATTATTCCTTGTTTATGTTTGTGTGAGCTGAGGTTAACTTTTAAACAAATATCTTGTTACACCAACAATTGTGTTTTATTTTACACAAATCTTAAAATATTGTAATCTTTTCTTATCTCAAAATCTTGTCCTGTCATGCTGTACTTAAATGGAATTTCACAATAATATACAGTAACAGTATACAAAAACCTCTGATGTTTTGTAATATTCCCTGGTCTACTTGTAAAGCCTGAGAGCGTTAGGTATGATTTATAAATATTTTATAAGCTAATAGTGTGCTGATGTAGTGGTTAATTTACCAAGCAAACAAAGTCTTTGATGTAGAAGCAAAAGACTTTTTACTTAATTTTCTTTTTCCACAATGTTTAAAATGATGATAGCTGAAATACCTGTTGTTATGATTGGCGATTTTGCCACTATTTTATACTGGATGTTAAATACTGTGTTAGTTTTACAGTGTCTAACAGGCACAGCTTCCGACAGACATGTAATCACACATGCAGATGTTTAGTTCTCTGTTTAATTAGATTGCTATAGAGACCGTCTGCACACCTGGATCTTAAAAGCAGGTATAGGAAATGTTCCCTTATACAGTATGGGTACAGAGTATGGGTACAGGTAAAAGTAGATGAAACCCCGAGTGGATTGTGTAATCTAGACACATCTGTCTGATCAGGCCTCTTTGTGAGTTCTCTGATGAAGCATGTACAATCAGTTGATTCATATGCATATCATTCCTTCATGTGGCTAATCTGTTTACAGACATGCATTTTGACTGAGATCAGGTGTGCTTGTGGTCTTTGCTGTCTGCTCCTGTGCATGTCTCATGGTAATGTGTATAGCAGAATTAGGGACAATTACCTGCTCTGTTATGAGTGTGAACACTGAGGCAGCTGTATGCTGCTCTGCACCGTACGCAGACCCTAGTTTAGTTCAAAGTCATCCAATAATACTTCTATATCATTTTGTAATTTCATTCTGTTTCAACAAACATGCCTTTCAGTTTGAACCAACTACAGATTTCATAACCTTAAACTTTAATCATCCCGATTTTTGGTGGTGGGGTCCATTTTAACTCACATCTTATTGAAAAAACAAAATCTAAGCAATAAATCACTTGAAAATCTAGACAAATAAAGATCGCTTACCTGACGGACTGTAGCATCATCAAAGTAGATCCAAACATTCAGCTTTGTGTGGAATACGAAAGTAGAGTAATGTTTTCCATAATAACAGACAAGAGCAGACAACTGCAGTTTGGGTAACTTGGAAACATCTTTAAATCCTTTCACCATAACTGAGTGAAACACCTGAAAAAGACAAGTAAACTTTAACATTTTTTCTGATGACAAAAAGATAATGCTTTCTGGTATAGGTTCAAAATTGAAGGACAGTATTTTCAGGTATCAAAGAATGGTTACTTACGTCTTGAAGGAGTATCGTTGTGCCAATACTCTGAACAACATCACTGATCATGTCTGTATTGGGTCTGTCTGTCTCCCAAACTAGTCCAATGCTCACTATTAATAAAAAGGGAAAAAAAAGTTTTTAGGTTCGCAATGTATTTTCACATAAAAACTATGAAATTGTCATAATCATGTTTACCAAAGATTTAGAAATGAACCTGATGATTTTTATAAACGAATAAAAAAAATTTACTTACCGACATCTGGACAATTGAGCAGTGTCCTCCTGATCTGAACTCTTTTTCCACAGGAATCCTGAAAACCCAAAAAAAGAAATGGAAACTTTTTCTCTACGAGGGTACCATAGTCTCATTTTTATTTTTGTTAAGACTTCCTTCTTAGCTTATAATTTGTTAACTAAAGCAAGGTTAACAATTGTATGTCCAAAAAAAATGCAATACTGTAGAAGTACTGTTCTATTAAATAAAAATTGTAAAAAAAAAGTCAGATAAAAAGAAAAACTTTAATTCAATGTAAGGTATTTCAAGTTTAAAAGAGTAATCAATTAAAGTTTATATTTGGAAATTTATCTTACCGGGCAGTCACGAATATCACCAACAGCACCTGCGTTCCTTAGTAACAGGCCAAATCTGTCTGGATGCAAGATATCACCTGTTTCGTGCATTGATCTGCACTGCGACCTGTTAATACAAGACAGACAGGCAAGTTATTTACATGTACATAATTCATCTGCAGGTTACAGCAGGTAACTGCATCAGCGATGGACTTGTTGCAGATAGCAGACAATAATTTGTAACAATAGCACATGAAGCCAGATTTTATTGCGAGTCTGCAAACAGATAAAATCCTTTTTATGCCATTTCCTTTGCATTCAAATGCAAATGAAAGAATTGAGCTGCCTGTCATCATCTGTTTCTCATTTAAAGCAGGCAGTTATGTGTTTTAATCGTGTTTAATGTGTAATTAATGTGTAAAATGCAGTCTAAAGTGGTTAATGAGTTTGTCTCCTGCTGCATGTGTCCAGGCAATTACGTAACAGGCAATCTGATAAAAACACTTACACTAACGCACTAGTGGATATATAGTGCACCAATTCATGGAAGGTTAAAGGCTCCGAGCTTGCACCGCAAATACAAACAATCTGAAAGATTGAAGTTTCAATTTCAACTAAAGTTCACAGACTTTTTTTTTACTCTCCTATTTCATTTCATGCTGACAAATTGTTTCTCTTTTTCATTTTAAGTAATATCAGGTGGAAACAGGTCAAAACTGCATTTTATTATCAAAGTGTAAACCAATCCTTCAGTGTCCCAGACATATGGTAATGTATATTTTACTTATGTCAATGAAAGTCAGGGATCAAGCCATTAGATAAAATAAGCGAGGTTCCCCCTGAAAGCTCTGATGTTACAGCAGCTTGTGCGTGACTGAGAAGATTCCACCATTTATCCCCAGACTTGCCGATGCTACCTGCCAGTGATTGGCATTTATCTGTATCAATAAACTATAGAATACAGTAAAATGATCTGCAGTAGGCCACAAATCAATAGAACACTGATGGCTATTCCATAGCTATATTTTTCTTCGGTCAGGATAACCATCGAGCAGGAAGTTCAAATGTGTTGAGGTGGTGTTTACCTGATCGAAAACAGTCATGGCAAATTTCTGGTGGGGCAAACAGTGGGGGGCCTGACAGGCATCCTCGCTGTAGGCATTGGCAATGTGGAAATGAATGCGCCGTAAAATGTTCTCCTGCAAAGTAATAGCATTTGAGGTTAGTAGAGTCTTGTTTGCACTGGAACAATACTACCCTGTTTACTACCTATCCTGACCTACGAATAAATTGCCGCAAATGGTGAGCAACACTTACACCATCACTGTGATTATCAGATGTATACTAGGGCAATCAAGATGCACAAGATTTTCTCATAGAAATATCACCATATATTTTACTTCATAAAAATCTGCATTGCAAATTATCTTTTTATAATTTCTTGTCATAATATTGTTATATATCCTAATTTTCTTCTCATAGAACCAATCTCTTTGTTATGTCTATATAGAGAATGCATATATATATACTCTCATCGCTTACATTATATCAACTGATTGTAATATTTTTGAAACTGAATTCCAAGTAGCATTATCTGTATGTTAAGTATCCTTTTCCTTTCAATTTCTTTTAATGGAATTCTTTACAATCCACTCCTAAGGGTGACTACATTATATACAGGGAATACCATAGAGCTTTACATTCAGCTCATTTTGATATAAGTAGCAGATAAGTTTAGAATTTTAATAACATACAAAGCATTCAGCAGCATCGTCCATGTGTCCCAACTGAAAGCGTTGCTGGTTGATAAAGGACTCTGCCAGAGCCTTACGTAGGGCATCAGGGGGTAGGGAGGCTTGGTCACTGTACTGGAACTGAGTAAATATCACCTGAAACAAATCAATACAGGTGTGAACGTTGGATACAAGTTTACAACAAAGAAATGGATACACCTGGGTCAGACAATATACTTGGACAGGTACTTTCCTCTCCAGAATGATCTACCTAAGCCCATTATTCTGTATGTGTAAAGTATGTCAGGGTAAATAAATTTGGAGGATTTTAATTTGATTGTATTTAACATGAGTATCTGCCACCTGACAGATCCCCGTCTCTATCACATGTAAATGTAAAAACTGACTAGATCACTATTCAAAGGATCACGATATTGAAGTTTAAAATTTGTCTGTGACCACTTCAAAGCTAGACACCTGTGTCGCTTGATCACAAACATAGAAACTTGATCCAAAAACACCCTTGGCCTAGGTTGTAATTAAATTTCGCAGTTTGTCTTTAGAAAGCCGAGAGTCCAACTCATTAAAATCCTAAATGAATGAGGGAATTAAAAGATTAAAGGTGACTTGTGTACTGTTTGTAAACTCTCAATCAGATATACTAACAAACCTTTTAATAAAGAAACAGAACTCTTCAAGTTCAACTACTTAGGGAGGTATCCACTTTTAAATGCACTTTACAGAGGTTTCGGCCTGTCTTTTAATACATGACTCACATTTCCAATCTGCACTATAGCCATGTTTTGTGTTGACTGGCTTAATTTACACAAAAAAGAACTCCCTAGTGAGTACTGCATACATATCACAACACCAAATCTACAGCCCACAAAGGTGGGCAGGTCAGGATAAGACGACTCTTGGGTTTACTATCTACAGGTACCACTGGCACGTGTCTCTGCCCAATAAAATGGACAAAGAACATTGACCATAAACCCATACCCTACATCTAAATAAGGAAGATCAAACAGAAGTTTATCACAACTCCTTCAAAGAATCTCAATCTTTCAAGAAAATAGACATTGAAATGTCAAATGTCATATGAGATCTGAAGAAATAATTGATGTCCATAGCAGTGATGCTTAGATACACTAGTTTTGTATACCTGCATGTGAGTCACGCACAAATTGGAAAATTGACCTCAGAAAAAAAGTCGCAAACATATGATTATTTATTGTGAGCAAATATAAACACTGAGTGCAGAAGAAAGAAATCAAGACCAAAAATCGAAAAAATTAATCGAATCGTAAAGAAAATGTCTGGAAAATTGTGACACGTCCAGGTTTACCGTGCTACACTATTTTCAGACAGTGTTTTCATTTCTATTGACGCCACTATGTCAAGGGTAAACAGAGAGGTGTATTATTGTACTATGTAAAGGGCCGCCTCATTGGAAAACAGTTGCAAATAAGGGCTCTGTTGACTGTCGTAACCAGTTGTTATTGAGCAAGTCACAACAGGTCAGTAGATTTCAATAGATTTCAACGGTATTATACTGGTGCTTGCAGGTAGAGAACTAAATCCAATTATAAGTCTGAAAAGTGGACAGGAATAATCTGTGTGTCACTCCATAACTACATAAAGGTTTACATCAACACTTAGTTTTTAAAGCAGCTAGTACCTAGGATAATATGATATCTTCACTGCTTTGGTCGTAGTACAATTCCACTAATCAAAATCATAAATCATCAAAATCTCCTTTTTTTCCCCCCCTTATCATTGGTAATTAATTTGGTAATTTATCAAAATGAAAAAAAGCCTATTAATTCTTAATTTAGAATCATAACTCAACGATTTCGTTTGATTAGTTGTGTAATATTCAAACAAGGTCCACTATCAAACTGCTTAGTCACATTAGGGAAGCAATCGTGTTAATGAGAAAATTACTTTAAAGAGTTATTGTGACACAGATGTAAATTTCTTTACCTTGTATTTTGTTTTGTGATTATGATATTATTGTCAGTTTTGAGGACTTTTACTTGTTATACATTTGAGGCTGGATCAAAATTATTCAAAACTTGTTACAATAGTTAGTAAGTTAATAAATATCATTTTTCGTTATCAATCCCGCAGGCACCTGAATGGAACGATTAAACCATAAAATATATTTTGCTTTTACATACCTTAAGTGCACAAAATATACAGGAGTTGCCCATACACAGATGACCTGTGAGGCGTCGATAGCTTCTCCGGAACACATCTAAGTGCCAGAATACCTGAAAATACAAAAAAGAACCAAAATTGAAATTGTACATAAAAATGAAATTCCCTGATTAATAGTCATTCCACACTTGAAGAATGATATTGAAAATTTGATCATCTGTTGATAATTTTGATTGACTTTGAATTGACACCCTGTTGACTCTTTCTATATACTCATTTTCTCTGAGAGATCTGACCATTTAATGTACATGATTTTTAAATATACATGATTAAACAGTGGTAATAGGTTATTATAGGTGACAAAAGTTGTCTGTCAAGTAAATCTGTGGTCGTGTCACATATTATTTGTTCCTGATGACAAAATGGTCTCCATAATGTCATGAACGTACAACGTGTAGCCATTTTTTTATGAAAGAAACGGTGCCTTAATGTCCGTTTAATTATACTGATTCCATCGCCCAAGGAATTACGGCTGGACTTATTATTGTAAACCTCTCCATCAGTGCACCTACACAAAGCCAGGCGTCCATAATTGATGGGCCTGTCCAGCCCCGTACTGAGCAGGTAGACAGGTAAACGGTGCATTATCATTTCTACTTGTTATGAATCTAAAAGCCATGCTTGTGCGACTCAGCACCAGAGAATCAATACAACAGCAAGTCATTGATTGGTTCCAGGACGGTTCCAACACCTGACAAGAGCAATTATCAAAGTCTGCGATAATGGCGGGAAGAGAAAATTTCAATAGGGTTCGATACACACATTTCCGTTGGTACACCCAAGCTCACACTCCCCGTTTGTCATTTATTGAATCCGACTAGATTGATACCCTGCGTCAATCTCTAGTCATCTTCCTACCACAGAATGAGGTAAACACAACTTAATTACTACAGCCTTATTCCTATTAATTCAGAACTAAAGCCTTGTGTGATGACCAGTCACACCTGGACTCATTGGCACATCGAAGGTTAAGCAGGAAAGTCTTATCACCAGGGAGCTGGCTACTGTTAGGAGAAGATAAGAGATATTAAAATACTAATTAATTACTATAATAGGGTAATTTTGCTTCATGATAATGTCAAGTAATTTTTTTTCTTAAATCTATTTTGTTTCGAGATATTCATCTGGGTAGTTTTAACAAAAATGTTTTCAATAGCAAGTTTTCAAAAACCGATTTTTTTCTTTTTTAAATTACTGTTAATTTGATTTATATGTAAGCCTTATGATTATCTCCCCAATATAAACTTACTACTTGAAGTGCATACTCCATTGCATACTCAGATTCGATGTTTTTCCCAGGGCACCTTGAGTACTATCACTGTTAAAATGAGGGCTAGATGGAGGATGGTAGTTTGTTATATCTAAAAGGAAACCTATTGAAATAATTGATTCAAAGACAGAATTAAAACTGGGTCATGTTTTTGAAATTGAATTAAAAATTGTGTAAAGATCGACTTCCTGTGATTTGATATAGCTCACTTTTAGCCAAGCATCACTTATCGTAAGTCTGTACAGGTGTCACTGGGGTATATATAGCACAATAGACACACCCATCCTCTAGACATAAACTACCGGAACATGTACCGTTAATATAAAGTACCCATTAATATAAATCACAACTTAACATATATATCCACTGTTGATTTTTGGTTGTTGTTTTTTGTCCTATTTAAAGTCAAGTTAACATCAATACAATCATCTAATGCTTTTAGAAGATTTCATTCATACATTTACTTAAAAAGTTGTGGTTGATTGTGTCTCCCTTCTGTGGCCCCCTTCCGGAGATTAAACCCATCAAAAGAGGACAGGTACACAAGAACACAGCCCTGGCAGGGACCAGTTTGACAAGGGGGCTAATATTAATGTGTAGACATGGGCTTTCTGACAAAGCAACCGAGGAAATGGAAAATTGGCTACGCTGATAAAAAACACTCAATTGTAACCTTGACAAACAAGACCACAGTTCTGTGTCGGAATATATCGCACAGGATGTTGGGAGTCATAGCCAGTCAAATTTATTCACCTGGAAAAAGTTTAATTAAATCTGATATTATAACCCAGGGGGATGATATTGCAATGACTGCAAAAAATAAATAAAACAAATTATAATGATATATAACTATCTACTGGTCACTTATACAAAGTTTGGCTGTTTGTTTTAATTGACCAATTAAGAGTAAAGCCTGATGTAAGACAAACATCCTTGACATGACCAGGTGTGATACAATACACATCAGGATTTAATCTTGTCCTAAGAACAGCCATAAAGCATAGATAGGGGACTCAAGTGACATGAAACACAAACCCTACTCCATACAAGTGATTTAGAACAGCCCAATAAAGTCACTGTCTTTATCAACTTTCATTCCAACCACTTGTGTTTATACCCTAACAAGATGGCCAATAACTTGACCCCAGTCCAGTCCACAAAGATACTCTCTTTCATCGAGCTTCGGGATGGAGATTTAATTGGAGGACCATATGCTTTTTCTCTCCAGGATGACCATCCATTGTCTTACAGTAACCAGATAGAACTGTTATCTTTGACAAGCTTCTGACATTTATCTAGCCAATATTTTTTTCTAAACATTTCCTTATATGCGTATCTTCATAAATGTACACCTATGTAATATGTACAGTGTATTTTATGTAGAAGACTAACATTTGTGTAATATTTTGTTTTCTCCGATATCTATAACAAATAATTTAAGGTGGGAAACTAGAAATCTGCTGTTGCCATGATCATGATCAGTTCATTCTTACAAGATGTCCAAACTCCAGTTACCCACAAAATGAAGGTTTATTTTTATGTAAATAAATCAATATGTTCTATTTAAAAAACTTTTTTAAAAATCCTACAATGAATATATATATATGATATCATTTAATTTATGTAAATTCATCAAAGTTAGGCCTACATACTACTGTATAGCATTCTATGTAACAAAACAGCAGTGTAAGAAATAGAAGCGGAAATGACAGCTTTCAATCGATTAGCTAAACAAGACTGCAGACTTTGTGTAGACAAATGGTCTCGGACTTCTTATTTTTACGACAGAGTAAAGAGTATGTAGGCAGGCTCACACTAAATGATCTAAGCCTTAGGGACGACTGTCTACAGATCAAGGTTAAGGAGGGATCAGAATTATACCTGCCGAGAAGTAGTATATTCTTATATTACCTGTGTTTTCTTATGGGAACTCATTGAACTCAAAATAGAAAACATAACATGATAAATCTATCTAACAATTTTTAATGTTATTCCAGCGGTTAGCAACACACACTCTGGTCGTGGCCAAGATGAACAGGCTTAAATCACCGAAGCCAGGATCATTTTTTTCTTAAAATTGTTTTATTCTTAGCTGTTTTTTCATGAACAGTCAATGGCAAGGTTAAAAAGCTGATAAACACTTTAAGTCTTCATTAATTTTTTTTACAGAAAAATATTTTCCCATTAATGCCATGAATTTGAATATCAAGTGGCAAATAATGCATGATGCCAATAACCATAATTCTAACCCTAAACAAAGACAAACAAAGGAAGGTAGCCAGAGCCAATATTTATAGGGACAATCAGAGGGTTTATCAATCAGATTGTCTGGGATATACCAGACATAGTAATAACTTATCCTAATGTGCACTCTTTTAGATCATTATTGTATTGTCCACTAATGGTCATTTGGGACAGCTAATGGCCAGTACAAGTTTGTAGACTAGTTTGTAGGTCGTGTGTCCAGGAAGGCCATGGCTTGGGGAGATAGAGTCACAGGTATGAAAATGATAGATAGATTGTTAAGCTCCAATTGTCCTCAGGCTATATTGTCAACCAGGACTTCATAAGATTTATAGATATTCAGCAATCCTGCCACACATAGGATTCACGATCCAAATCAGGTTCTCTCTGAAATGCCTTCAGCGTTATAATCATCACTTCACAATAACATTATAGAGTATCAGCTCCTCTTTACAACTTTGCTAAGACTGACACTTATTCTGTCAAATCAGTTTTGCAAAGACTAACTCATATTTGACCAAAACAAGGCTTGTGATATAACCCACCTGTTTAATTATTTGATGAAGAACTGTTACCTGCGTAACAATATAAACAATGACAGCTTCCTAGCAATAACTATGAGTAATATGGGCGGACCCTGTTACAGTCATTGATGATAAATCAATATTGTTCTACAATCATTTCACAACATATTGGTCAATTTTACTTGTAACGTCTATTTCTGGCATCATCTGCTATTACCTTGACCACACAGAAAACAAAGCAGAGGCTGACAGCTGTTCGCTAGTCTTCTGTGGTTGGTCTACCTGTACAAGCCAGACAGGTAATGATCAGGTATCGACAACCAAACGAGCTACATCAATAAGATCTTCCTGTATCTCTTGTCTGACTTTTAATTTTTAACTAAAAAACAGCAATTTTAAAAATAATTGATGTGTAATAATCAGTTATTACAGTAGGAAGTGGCTGGATCGAGTCATTTGTCTTCTATTTTCTTATTTCAGTTTAGTAACATGAGAATGTTGATGTTTATGAATGTCTCGTGTCATCACATGGACTAGTTTCCTTAAACACCTCAGCGCCATATGACAAGCCTTTTAGAGATGGCCATGCATTAAGAGCATCTTTTGTTGTGTTACCTACATAATGTACATACATGTACCTTTGTATTGATATCTAAAGATTAAAATCTGTTACATGTGTCATCACCACTAATTGACAGACAGTTGACATTATTGTGCAAGTCACAAGTATTTTTGTAAGTAAATGATAAAATTCCCATGGCAAACAGGAAAGTACTCTTCTGGTTTGGAGGTGTTGGACCAATATTGGCGGTGTCACCACCCCCTGACAGGGAGACAATGGCCCACTGACAGAACCCCTTAACACCCCGAACAAAAGCTGTCTTTCTCCTGGAAATTAAACCTTAACCTACTCCAGCAGAAAGACATCTACTTTACATTGAACTTATTATATAAGTATTTACTGGTTGGCTTGGAGATTTTAACACATTCTGTATACCTATCTCTCTTTTTGACAAATTCCCCCTCGGGGAGTAACTCTCGTCTGTTATACCAAGTTGGTCTGCCACCTGAAATCCCATCTACTACCTACTCAGGTGGAAAAACCAGATTTACATACTATGTGCTATGACCTATCTGGTTATATCTTACCTGAGTGAAGCTATCAGGTGGGCACATGTACATATAAAGGTGTATGTAAAAGCCTCACTTATGACTATCCCTGCTATACTTACGTAGTATATTGTGTTTCAGAAAACTCCATTTTCTGATACATTCTTTCACTGTTGTGTGATAATCGTTATATACACACATGAATTGTGTCCCTAATTAAATATATAATAAATTTAACAACCAAACTATCGTGTCAATGAAAATAGTATTTAAACTCATATTAACATCATAATAATAGTTTCATATACACAATATCCTTTCTTTAGCCTGTGAACTATTTCTATGAACTAGAAAGTAATGTAAGCACTGATGAATTGGACCTATCCTTAAGAGACAAGGCAGCCATCCTTTCTACATAAAATAATTTCATGGTACCTGATCACTGTATAGTTGTATTTGAAAATGGTGGCTAAAGAAAAAGCCTCTTAAGTATATACCTTTTGTCCATATGTAACAATCTCTTTTTTACTAGACAGAATATATTTTCGTTTATTGGGTTGGAATTGCTAATAAGTTTGTGACTGTATTTATTATACTAACAGCTGTTTTCATGTCCACCAATGATACCATTCACTTGCACTTGAGATATCAAACATCACCGGGAGCAAGAGTTTAGTGACAAATCGATACCGATGTACATAACATTAAAGTACCTGGTAGCTTCAAATCAAACATTCCCATGATGTCAGTGTCACATGTGTTGAATCATGTTCAGCAAAACTATATAAGCTTACATATGACACTTACTCAAAAACTGGCTGGCAGTCACTAACACATATGGGACAAACAACAAATTGTCTTTTTAAGTGGACAATTTTCCCTCTATTTTCATAATTTGTGAAATTGACATATTTTAAGAAAAAATAATTTACCATAATTTGACCATTGACTATTGGATGGAAATATGAAAAAGAAGTGCTATGTCAAATAATTACCACAGCAAGATTTTCAAAAATATGAAATATGGACAATGACTTGTTCTTCCACCAATAAAGTGATATACAACACACAATGTGTCTATTGTCTCTTGTCTGATTTATAGGTAGTGTCTTTATTACTGTACAAGTCAAGTTTAGGTGTTGAAATGTTAGACCCCAATTTAAATCAATTTTCTTCTTTTACTTACTTCATTGTTGACTACCTTCAACAAGTCAGTCAAAAAAATTGTACATTAATGTATGGGCATTTTAAATGTTCCAATAGCTACACTGACAATATGCTTATAAACATCTCTACTAGACTGAAGTCAGGCAGAAGAAACTATTGTTCCAAAGAGTTTGGTTAGATTTTTATCGATTGACCAGATGGTTGTTTTGTAGTCGGATTCTGGATAGTAAAAAGTGGTGACTGGATGGTGAGGAGTATTGTATGAATGTGTCATTGTCCGAGTGAATACTGTATTCAGGACATTCAATACCTGTGCTGGACTCAGGTGTAAGATGATAGCGGTACCCTCCACAAAATAGGACAATAGAACAGTACCCTGGACAATACCACACAGTTGTGTCCAGGTACAAACGAAGCATCAACAGGATTAACCATGTGCATCTATAACTGCCAACTGAAGCACTGGACCCAGTCCTCAATCACCTCATCTAAATAGCCCCATTCAACAAGCTCACGCCATCTGCCTAAAGTTAACTTTTTCAATGCACCTCATTGGTCAAGCCATGTCCACTTCAAGCACAAAGAGTGTCTAAAATGTTCACTCTTTCATTATGGACGGAATTGTGAAAACATGTACAACAATAGTATAATGCAGTGTCTAAACTTGGCATTAAATCATGTTTTTACACCTGCCTGTTTGGCTTACCTGTCCCTTAGAAATGACCACAAGCTTTGGTCTCTATTAGTAAACCTACAACTGACTGTCAATTCATGAATAAGTCTGTATTACTGAGTTGTGTTTGACTCGTAATGTTTTACTTAGGATTACACATCTTTGGTTTTAACTACTTAACAGATTTTTTCTTGAGAAACCAGCGTCAACAGGTGGCTATGTTTTGGCTGAATACAACAAGATTTATCAGTGGTCAAACAAATTGAACTGACCAAGAGGTCCAGTATACAATCCAGATTGTTCAACGATCAGAGTTTAAAATCAGAAGGAACCAGATTTATTTGCTAAACACTAACTAAGGTAGCCTACAACCCAATATGCAAGAAACCAAATATAAACAAATGAATTTAATAAATTTTCATTAAATCAAACAAAAAGGTTGCAATCTTTCAACCTGTTCTTATCCTGCCCTTTTACAGAGAGTTCAACCTTTCAAGTAAGCCTAAAGAATTGTTTTGATCTTAATTGTTATATGAAAAGTTTTGTTTATAAATATACTCACAAGGGAAATTATATGGTGCATAACAAAACAGAATGGTTCACTTTGTATGTTACTGATTTTTTATGCCTGAACAATGGTACAACAGGATTGATCAGGTCAAACCATATGTACAACAAATCAGCTGTTTGGGTTAATAGGCAGGAGTAGATCAACTGTAAAATCTCCGAGCAGCCATTACAATTTGTCAGGTTAATTGCTCTTGCATGATGTAGGGGCACATGTCCCATGTGACCTGTCTCAGTGTTGCCAGAGAGCATGTCCAGCTGATAACGGTTGTTGACATGTCCTATGTAGTAGATAACCAGGTGTCTGATTGGTCTAAGTCTGATAAATCGAGACTTTATCATCGTCAATAGTCTGATGTATATAACTACCTTTTCACCATTACAAATCTTTTTAATCCCATAACTGCTTTATGATAAATACTTTAGCACTCCTAGATCCAGAACATGGTGTAAATCTATACTATATATACTTAGATAGAGTGGTTGTTATAGCCAGGTGAGATAGTAGGGTCAGATGACCTCAAACACAGGTCAATGTATCATACCACAGGTGTTTGTACCATTGTTGTTTTTTTGTAATTACTACCTATGACATATAAGACATTATATCTCCACAATTAAAAAGGTATGATGGATGTGGTCCCAGGTTAATATTACTATCATTATAAATTGTGATGTAGTTTCAGTGCGATTCTCAGATATTAATTGATATGAGCTGACGACTGGGACTGTTTTGTGTCTGTCCTTTGAGAAAGTTTGGTGCCAAGAGATTGTCATCAGTGTAAATATTTGATGTGCTTATGATGCGGTAACTTCCCACAGTAGCTATATCAGTATAACACTCCATGCCCCAAGTAGGACACCAAAACACCCTGGAAACATCACCTGCTCTAGGCAGGCTGGTCCATATAAATTTCTAGCTGGGTTGTTTCTGAATAATTCATATCATCAACTCCGGATTTCTTGTACATTGTATATATATTACTGTTAATGATACAGCAGTGGCTCCATCTACAGGTGATCTGTATTCTATGTCAGTTTAAATTGATCTAAACAGTCGTATCTATTGAAGCACAAACCATTTGTATTTTGCAATTTATTTCAGAAAATAAGAGAGTCTAATGTAAGATGACTTTCAGTTGAATTTTTTTTACATAAATTCATATGTAAATTAACATGTAACATGGACACAGGTATGTGCATTACCTATAGCTAATTCTGGCAGCTAGTGATTGAAAAAAATATTAAAACTTGTCTTGATATTTTCTGTCTATAAACAAAATTAATCTTTGACTTACCTGAACAGCACTGTTTAGGAAGCAATTGTTTTCTCCAGGAGCGTTGCGAAGACCTTTGGCAGATAATGCTGATGATGATGTGTTTTGGCTTCCACGGTTATCCCATGTGTCAAACCAATGTTGGGGAGGGGCATGTCCTCCATGAGGAAAGGATGGACCAGAGTCGTCCATAGTGTTTTCTTTATTAGCAGGTTGTGTTTACATACTCTTTGATCAACGTTGTCCACTGGAGAAAATAAAACAACAAGGTCAAAAATATTTAATATGTAAATCTTTTCCTAATCTAACTCATCTTTATGCTGAGAATCAGATTATTTTAAGGCAAAGCAAAATCCAGAGAGTCATACTACAATTTCCGATTCTTTACCAATGTGCTTTTTTGTCTTTATCTACCATGCAATATCACATTTTACAAATTGGTGCCAATTAAATCAAAAGATTTTGAAGTTCTGGATGAATGACTGTCTTGTCTTCTTTGTAGTTCTTCCTTTTTCACCATTTTTTGTTGGCCTACATCCAGCTGTTGTTAATGAGTAATATTTATCATTGGTATTAGTACTTTTGGTCTTACCAGTTTAGACTGTTTGTGGGCGTTTGACAATCAAAATAAAAGTAGATTATTACACCATTTACCAGGAATCATTACATAATGCCTGTTTTGTATAAATAACGCAGGCTATTCACCAACGCTACACCAGGAAGGGAAGTCATGTTTTCTTTTAATTTTCTTATGAAAATATTGACATGTCATACATGACTGAATGTTTACACTTGACAACAAACTGTTAGTATGTTTACGGCCATACATCTTGGAAGTCATCCGCATTTACAAACCTGTCAAAGAAAAATCTTTGACATAAGTATACTTGTACTAATAAGGTTTACCAAGTATGGAAATCAAACTTACAGCAAGGTTTTATTTGAAACTATAAACATAGAGACCTACAGTCACAAGGTAAACATTTCTGTGGTCATTTGTCAAGGTATAGGTGAAGTCCTTTTCATTGACCGACCATTCAAACCTGATCATTGAAACTTACACATACGAATGATCAGAGACTCCAGTTTAATTCTATTGACATCAGATATTGATCTGTTGATTTGTAATGTTATGAAAGTCTTTGTCTGTCCATGTACCTGTCAGACAGCTCAATGATCTACCTGTATAGCGAGAGTTTTATTATGTAGATGTATTACTCAACTATTGGTAATTACCTTTTAACATTATAGGTCTAATATACAAGGTCTGATTGGCCTTAACAGAACATTAAACAACATTACAATGTCATTTGTCTCCTTAGATCAATAACCACTGAACCATTCAAAGCAAGAGAGAAACTGGGCCAACATCTTATAAATATATAGTGAAAAAACCCACAGGCCGAAGAACTAGAGATTGCAGTAATGAATTTCTTTTTCTAACGCAATGAAAAATGAATAATCCATTTAGACCGAAAGCTGTAACCAAGGTACTGTCTGCATTGAAAAAAAACCCTCCCTGATGAAAAAGTCTGTCTTGCATTACTTGCAGCCTATCATATTCCTCCTTTCATTTCCCAGGATGGTCTTTAACCATGTTCTACCTGGTGCAGTCTTATTCCTGTATTGATTTGTTGCCATGGCAGCAGGTTTTACAGGTAACCATAACAAAGGACTATCCACTCCTTACATCCTCTGTAGCCAGTGTGTCATTGCTGGTGTAAAGAGTTCCCAAACATACAAAGGCCACTTCCAGGTAACAATGATGAGTTACATGTCATGGATAAATCAAGGGAAATGCTGTGTATACTTTACTTCTGATTTAAATGGCATTTATTACTTAATGATCAGGTATAAACGTCTACATTTACATGATACTGACATAAAGCTTACAGACACAACAGTGGACCTGAAGAGGGCTAACACAGCCCCACTCCCCTTCTCTACATCGTCATGGACAATTACCTCCCTTGATGTAACAAGAGTTTCTGTACAATATTAGTCGAGGTGAAAGGTCGTGGTGAGACTGATGTAACCTTTTCACTTATGTCAATTGCAGACAGGTAACCTCATCCACCGGATTCAATCCATCACCTCCCCTTCACCCTGATTAATCTCTTCTTTGTCACTTTAATAGCCAATTAGAATATATTTTTCAGCTGGAGGTGAGAAGGCCTTTCAAATTGTGACTAATTGTGGTGATATCAAACACTTGTGATTAAAAAGCACAGTCACTTATCTGTTTAGGTATTAGATATTAATAGTATGTATGTTATATTTTTTATTGGTAGATCAATCCCTTGGAAAAATGCATAAACAGTTAATAAAAGTAAAAAATCTTACATTGGAAAATGTAAATGAAAAGCTATATATTTCAGGAAGTGTTTGACAATGCCCTGTACAAAATCTATAATGTGTTTATACATGTTTGTCTTTACCTACTTGTGAACTGATTCCTAAATACCATAAGTCATTCAATGTCCAATAAATAATGAAATTTATGTATGATCAAGTTTCTGGATCTTTCAACTGGTCCCTAGTAACAAATGGAACTGCTATCAGCATGCTATATCAGGGATAACAAACTTTATCAAATTATTGACAAACTGATTAGCATAACTCTCTGTGTAAGCCAAAAGGTGTTAGGTCCACAACTGGCAACCCTGCTATTTTTGTAGGGTATGTGTGAGCCGCTACATTGCGGATGTCCTCAGCTTGGTCCGGTCCAGGTACCTGATAAGCCTAGTTGGAGGAGGGGTCAAGTATCCACAGGGACAGTGGTAGATATAGTGGGTAGACAGGTAGATAACAGAGGTAGATACCAGATATATAGGAGTACAGAAGTCTACCTGCACACAGTAGGGACTCACCTGTCAATTAACCCTGTCAAGGAAATGGGAAACTTGACATATTTATTATATGCAAACAAATATTTCTGAAGGAAATAGTTTTGTAAATATGATTACCATCTTGATTTTGGTAGTACACTGATATTTACAGTCCTCCAAGCTAGACTGGTGTACCTTATTAATAGCTTTTTACCTAGTAATTACTGGGTCAGTCAGCGACATCCGAGTAGGATGTGTGCATGAGTTATAACAGACAGTATACAATTCCTAGTATAGATTTCATACCTAGAAATCGGTGCTGTGTCACATGTTGACATCTGTTTGACATGCTGCAATATAAATACATCAATCTACTGACATTGCATGAGATGTCCTCATGTTCCTGGTCCAACTTTTTATCCCGACATGTCAGCCCTCCCAAACTCATGCACACAGGCAATAATACTATATATTGGTCATGCAGAAAATCCCTTCATCTGACACCTAATTGTTAAATATTGAAATAATTTTTATAATGGAGTTCCTAGTGTACGGGGTTGTGTTGATAATTTCACTATAATTGAATGATTAATTTGTTGTGATCACACCATATTATATAGCTCTTATTTTAACAGAGTTCCAGTGTTGCATGCTGCCTGGCCATATCTGTAGTTAACAGGGGAAATTAACTTAGGACTGTTTTGTTATCTACAGGTAAATTAGGCCACAGTTCATCAACTATGTCCTATATAAAACATTTCCACTGATAATTGATTTTCCTGATTGTCTCAGGTGGACATTAACTATATGGATATATATATTTGTAGGTAGGATGATATCCCTTGCAGATCAGCTGTCGTAGAGGTGATTAAGTACAAGTATATACGTATGTAGTATTAACCTCAACAAGAGGGGCGTGCTCGTTCCTACTGACTCATTTCCTACTTTCCACACAAGAACACACATGTATGCTTTATTCCACCTTGGGGTAAAAGCTATCTTTGTTGTAGTGTTCAGGTAAAAAGTAACTTGATAGTAATCTGTCTGGGCTTTTTAAGGCAACTTATCTTTGTTTAATTTTCTGGTGTTTTTGTCAGGTTTTTTTTACCATTTTTTTTCTGTGGAAAAACCAATGCAATTATATTTATATAAATTTAAACAATTCATTAAGTTTTTTTTTATCTTAAAATGGTGCTGGGCAATGTACAATGTGAGCAATTCACTGTAACTGTAGGTGTCAAACACCAGTGTATAGAGAGCAGAACAGTTTTATCTAAAATATGCAGAATATTTAACCTTAAAAAGTTATAGACCTAGCAGTTTTGTATCCTGATTATAATATGTCACTTGTCCTCTTGTCTAATCTTTCACCTCATTAATTTGCTTTTACTGGGAAAACAGAAAACCATGGTCTGTGGTCGTGATACCCAAAATGCTAATGAATGCTTTATATACAATAACTCTGCCTGATTAGAATACAAGATATAATGAAGAAAGGATATGAACATGCCCAAATTGCTATTACTATTAGAGAGTCTAAATTTATTGACTGGACTTATTCACGATTATAAAATCAATTAACTTTTATAGATAAAGATTTGGCATTACTTAATTAAAATCATCGTGATTTGATATATTCTATTCTGACAAAATCATACAATAAATCTTTCAGACAGAAAAGAGTTCATCATACATAATTACAAAGTATGGTAGACAGCTAGACTGAGTCTAAAGGTAAAACTATCATGCTGTTAACACTAAGTACCTGTCAGACAGATCTGACCAAAAGTGACCACAATGAGTCACGGCAGGTAGATGTAAGTATACCGATAAATACCTGGTAATGATCACAGCAACCGTCCTCTAATCACCTTCTACAATATTGACAAGTACGTATGTAACTTTGACATCCTGGTTATTTTGATCAGATATTTCAGGATGACAAAATAAATGATGTCCCCAAGATCGCTTTCTAATTTTAATTGTATCAACCCTGCGTGATTCTCATCTCCTTGTATAATTTTGAAGTTCTAAGCAGGATAAATGTTCTCATTGATTTAAAAGCAAACCTTCATAAAAACTTTTTGTCAACAGATGTAGGGAAGATTTGACACTATTCTGAATTAATAATCAATAAATCATTTGTTGTTTAAATCTCATGAAATTGTTGATGGATCATTTTTCATATAATTGTATAGAGGAAGTGTGCATATTGTTCTTAGAACCCTATATGGATTGAAACCAGATGGTGCCAACACATGTAGGAGATTAAAATATAGGACAACTCAATACTGTACTAACATTGATAATGATCAATAGACAGACACTGTTCGACAGTTTAACAAAAAACATATCCACTGGATC